AGAGAGAGAGGAAATCATTGGTTTTCTTTGTGAGTCCAAAAGAGGAAAAGGTAGTCAGACCCCCACATGATCTTGTTTGCAGAGAAGGGCCGAGGAAGTACCCGGATTTCACATGGTCAGATTTGTTGGAGTTCACGCAAAAACACTACAGAGCTGATGTCGCTACACTCCAGAGCTTCATTCAATGGCTTTTATCGGCTAAACCATAAAGCATCAACCTTGTAGTTGCTTTGGATGATTTTGATGAGTGGTTGCCTTTATGTATCCTGTGTACTGGCTAGGCTAGTTATGTTCTCTCTATATTTTCTCAGGTTGGTACAGTTCCCACCAGCTTTTGTGTAGCTTTCTGAATTTTATTGGAGGAAAGAAAAACTAAGACCTTGCTAGTGTTCTACCCTTCGAGCATTCAGATAATTCTTGGGTTACCCCAATTCTAATATCCATTCCCTTGTCTTCCCAAGTTTATAGTTCTGGAAAAATGATCGGTTACTCAAGTTTTAGTAGGTTTTTTAAAAAAGCGCAAACTAACGATCATACAATAGACAAAACCTGAAGCAGACTTTAATGAACTTTTTTCCCTGATTATTAGGCTTTGAAAATTCGATAAAAAGAGCTTGGTCAGTAGTTCAGGAACTCCCACAAAACAAATTTGTTTGAACCAGAGAAATGTTGCCTTGAGAAGAGACTGTTTGTGGTTTAAACAAAAGTAGTCAAGGAAGATGATAGATGCATGAGATGTGCAAAAATATATGTCTATATATATTCAAAGAAAAACCACCCTTTTACCTGATATTTCAGTTTTTTATACCTCATCAAACATATGAAGTTGCAAAAAGAGAGGCATAAATAGTAAAGTGTTGTCTAATCTAATTTAAGAGCAATTATATATGGGATAATAGCCCCTAATGGGTAATGAAATTATATGGGATAAATGCATGATTAGGCATCCTTTATCACTAATTAACAATACACATATATAAAAAGGTGATTTTATATTTGAATTACATTTAGGGAATGTGTGCGGGAATACTTGAAAGTTTAGAGTTGCTAGAGATCTCTAAGGTCTATTAAAGTTTGTATATTAATTAAAACATCTTATTATATATATTGTCCCATGTTCCACAACCGCTCAATATAAAAAAAATTTAAATATTAAAAAATATTAAAAATATAAAAAATATTTTAAACATCTTGAATTTAACAAATAAATAATTTATGCCTTACTTGTTTGTCAAACTCGGGTAAACGTGAGTCTAGTGTAACCTTTTGAATTTAAAAATAATAAAATCAATGTCAGAGCTAAGAGTTTGGACATAATCATCAAGTCCAAGTCACGTAGGTTTGGCATAGTTGCCAGATCCATATATTGAGTTAAAAAAATATAATTAAAAAAATAGAAAAAAAGAGAGAAGATAGAATTTTAATTAAAAAAATAAAAAATTCATAAATATAAAAAATAAATTATTTTAATGGGAAGATATCATTTGAATTTTTAGATCTAAAATGCTAAATTAGATATTTTTTGATTATTTTTTGTTTATAAATAATTTCTGAACTTAGATTTATATGTTAGAATACTTTAATGATAATTTAAATATTTTTATATAAAAAAATTATATGTCTTAGAGGATTTAACATTTATTACCTCTACTATTTTTGTACCATGAGAAGGATAATAAAACCTATACTATTTTTGTACCATGAAATATCCAATAATTGTTCTTAAATCTAATTTCTTTAGTTGAGGATTATAAATCATTACCTCAACAGGATAATCCTATATAATTTAAATTGAGTTTTCATTCATTTTATAATTTAAAATGTATTTTAATTAATGCAACTAGGGATGAGATCTAATTTAAAATATACACAATAGTCTTTAGTGCTTCATTATATAAAGATAATGACAGATTATAATTACCAATTATATTCTTTATCTTGTTTATAAATATACAATTTCTTCTTTCAACTATATCATTTTATTATGGAGTGTTAGGCATTATATATTATGCAATAATACCCTTTTTTTCAAGGAACTTTGCAAATAAACCTGGCATTTATTTTTTATTTTTTTATGTACTTAACATAATACTCTCCATCTTTATCTTCACTTACAATATTTATGGTATTTTTCTTTTATTTCTCTACCTTAACCTTATAAGTTTTAAAAGTATCAAATGCTTCAGCCTTATATTGTGAAATAATACTGCTTCATTCAATGAACTTTGCAAATGAACATGACATTTTTTTTTGTACCTACCATAATACTCTCCATCTCTATCTAACCTTATAATACTTGTGATCTTTTCCTTTTGTTTCTCTACCTCAACTTGTAGGTCTTAAAAGCATCGAATGTTTCAATCTTATTGAATAAGAGATAAAGATATATATATCTAAAATGATTATCAATGAATAAGATAAAATTTCTTTGACCATTCAAATATGAAGTATTAAATTGTCCATAAATATCAATGGTCTTGCTAGTTTGCTTTCCCTTTATGCAATCTAAACAAATATCAAAATTAATAAAATCAAGAGTGTTTAAAACTCCATCATTTACTAATCTTTCTATGAAAATGTAATATAATCTCCTGGGTCATAATATGAAGGATTTTGTCATTAATTTTGCTCTTTTTAAAACCACAATCAGCATGTATTGATAAACAGTTGAGCTAAAAAATAAAGTCTAAATCAGTTATATATAAACCATCAATTAATGTTACAACCAATAAAAACTTTATTTTTTCAAATACTAAAAATAAACTTAGATTTTAAAATTAATATAAAAATCCATAACCAACATTACAAAGTCTAGAAACTGGAATCAAATTTCTAGAAAATGATGGAACATAATAGAAATTTTCCTAATCCAAAATAAATATAGGTTTTAAAATTAATCTAAAAGTCCTTATAACTTCAATTTTAGAGTGCATCCAAATTCCTAAATAAGTTCCTCTTTCATTATACTTGAAAAGTTGTGCATGGTATTAACAATATGAATTATAGAACCAGAATCAATCCATCATGTATTACTAGTAGCTTCAATGAATAAATATTCATGACATACTAAACAAATGACTTTACCTTTCTTTATGAGTCATTTATTATACTTAGAGCAATCTTTCTTCACATGTCCTTTTTTTTTTTTTACAGAAGAAACATTGATTAATTTTTTCATATTGCTTTATTGGTATATTTCTATGTTTCTTCACTTTAAAGGTCATTATACCTTTCTTGACATTCGTCTTAGATTGAGAAATCAAATGATCACTTTCAAGTTTCTTCAATTTCAATCTTTTTTTTTATTAAATACTCATGGTTAATTATTCATTAATTAACTATTTTTTCTTATATGTGTTATAAGAAATCATAAACGAACCATATTCAATAGGAAGAGAGTTCAAAATAAAATGAGTCGGGAATGACTTAAGAATCTCAACCTCCAAAGACTTCAATTGTGTAGGAGCGTCTTTCATTTCCATAAGATGCCTACCCACACCCTTAAAATAGTTAATCATTTTCATAATATGCCTACACACACCCTTAGAATAGTCAAATGACATATTTAAAAATCTTTTCGTTAAAGTGTTAGTCAATGTCTTATTAGAATGAACAAATTGTTCATCTATAACCTTCAAAAAACCTTTTATCTTAAAGCATCAAGGAATGGAATTCCTAATACTTTTACTTATTTGAGACTGTATGAGTATTAAACTTTAGCAATTAGGTCACTCTCACCCTCATAATCAATCTTTATCCTAAGCATTTCTTGATTCAGTGGAGAATCTTTACTAGTTCATCCATATATAAGGTCGAATCCAAATTCGCATGTCCCAATACAAAGTGAATACTTTCCTTCATAAACAAAATTATCACCACATAACATATGAATATTATATGTATCAATAAACACAACATAGGAAAAGCTCCATTAACCAAAAAAATGCTTTAATGCTATGAAACAAATATTTTATCTAAATTAATAGTAGTAAATTTGAATTTTCCTGTGGGCAGAGATTGCATCATACATAGAACTTATTGATTCTTTAATAATAAGACTAATAAATAAAATACCAAGAATGAAATTTATTCACACTTGAGGGTCTAGAATAAAATTCATCCTTAATATCTATTTGTTATCTTATTCCAATTAAATCACAAAAATAACAACCTTAGGAGCATATTAATTTAGTAAATCTCAATGTAGTCACCAAAATAACTTAAAATGCTTTAGCTACTCCTAAGTTAATTAACATTACAATCTCATCATAGATTGCTTAATTAATTATCACCTAAAAACGTTAAGTTGATATACCCTTTAATCATGTAAACTGTATCATGAAAATTAAGTAAGAAACCCTATGTGTGGCACACTGCTCATGTGTCTTCTGCTGACAATATTGTAAATTAGTATATATATCAAGAGTAGGTTTCGGAAATCGGTCTTTGATATGTGTAACAATTAGAAATCGACCTAATTATCGTAAAAAAGAAATAATCGATTTATCGATCTTGGTGCTCTTAGCTGCTCAAGCTGTTCATTTTTGTATTTATCGTGATATTGACCCATTATAAAAAGACAAAAGAAAAGAAACTCGTCCTTCAATGAGTTCAAGTCTCCAAGATCCAATGAGCCTTTAAATAAATTAAGAAACTTCCCATAAGCTCTATAATGCACGGACAAAATGTTCATAAAATGTATGATCTAATTACAGAAACATTTTTTAAGTAATTGCCAGAACTAGCACAAACAATGATGAACAATTATCTGTAATTAATTATCCTTGATTGCGTGTCTTAGTTGCATAATTTTCATCAGCTATATATTTCAGCTGTTCATATTATTTACATCATTGCAAGATAAACTACCTCATTTATGGCGGCAGTAGGCAATAAGCTAATTTCTCCAATACGTATAAATTATATCAGAATATCTTTTCAGTTATGTGTAACAAAACAAAAATTCAATGATTTCAATTACTATATATAGTTTCTTTCTCTTACCAATGCTCGACAGGATCGACTTTGTCTTGGTGCTGCAAATGTTTTTGGATGGAATTAGGAGAGAAAGGCAAGGGATATGGTTTATGATCAGCTACCATGAAAGATGGTGGCTGAGACATAAGAGCTGAGGAAGAATATATACTAGTGTAAGGTGGTATCATATTTTGTTCTTGTTCTAGTTGATGATGCTGTTGAGAACTTTGTTGTTCCATTCTTTGCTGCTTTGGAACATTAAGCTTTTCTCCTTCGATCTCTCTATATTTGTTGAGATACAGCTTAAGTGGAGCAACGTACTCTTCAAACCCTAGGGTTGTGATGGCCCAAATAATATCATCACCATTAATAGTCTTTCTCTTCTCTCTTTGACATTTATCAGATGCTTCTCCAGTAACAAAGCTGATGAACTCGGACACGCATTCTTGAACTGTTTCTTTCGCATCTTTCGAGATTTTCCCATTGCCTGGAATCTCCTTTTTCATAATTCTGCCAACATTTGCTATAGGAAGGAAGTGATCCTGCTCCTTACTATTGTTGTGATTGTTGCTGCTGCTGCTGCAACTCTTTAAACATGGGCTTTCTGGGCTTTCTCCACTGTGACCATCTGTTCCATTTTTATGGTTTTCATCTTCCATTTCTCTCTTCTGCAGACACTCTCACCAAAGTGTAAGAGATTGGTCTTGACTTTGATAATGTTAAGGGTTGTTTTACGGACTAAATAAATAGAAAGAAGAGCAGGAAAATAGGCTTGTGAAGAGGGGAACAGAAAAGACTTGGCTGATGTTTTTAACAGATAAGCTAATTTTGTGGAGAAGGCAGTTAACTGTCATGACCTAATCTAACTTCTGTTCAAAATATAGATTAGTTAACTGCCTCCATAATTAGAATATTTTCACGACTGAATAAAACTTAGATTTAGTTGTTGGAAAATGAAACTTCTACAAACGTTGTTTCTTCCCAACCTCTCCTGGCCACTGAGTTTTGGAAGTCAATTATGTTGTATATCTTACGTTGTGATAGATCGAATCGAATCGAATTTAATTGATAATGATCTATTATGATTTTTATACGTGTGTGAAATTAAATTTAAATTTAAATTTAATTGATAATGATCTATTATGATTTTTATATTTGGAATAAAATACTAAACTATAAAATTGAATTAAATTTTATTATTTGAAATACTTCTAAAATGAATTTAATTAAGAATTTTGATTATTTTATTTTTAATTTGAAATACTAAACTATAAGTTTTATTTTATTTTGTTATAAGGACCCTTATTTTATTTAAAATGAAATAAAATTAATATATACGTTACGTGAGAGGAATTCTTTGTAAGGAAGAAACATGCTTTTTTAGGACCAAATATCTAACAAGTCACTAAATTCCTAAATTTAACCATTTAATATTAAATGAAGTATAATATAACTTATATTTTAATTCAAAAGGCTCACGCATGCTAAGTCTACAGCAATTAAAATAAACTTTTACACAGTTCCAGAAATTGGAAACCATGCAAGATGTATCTAGAGCAGTTGAATTAAGCATTCTAATTACTGCAATTAGACTAGCACAAATTTGAGGCCCGTGTATTTATATAATTGTTGGCCATTAACTCTAACCCATTTTTTTAGAATTAGCTTGGCTCAAGTCTTTGCTTTATATATATATATATATCTGTGTGCACCTCATTTGTTCTTTTTCTTTCTTTCTCTTCACCTACAGCTTCTTCTTCCTTTTTTTATTTTTGCAACTTTCTCCGAAACCCTAAACTAGCTATTAACCATATAATCTTTTTTATATTTTGAATAAACTCGTATTAATTTTTCAAATTTATAATTAAGATTAACTTTTTAAATTTATAATTAAGATTATTAGACTGAAAATATAATAAATGAAAAAACTTTAACAAAAAAATTAGTGATAAAAGTTAAAAATAAAAAAAATTAAAATTGAGATATTAACAACAAAGTGGATCAATCTATATTTTTCAGGGTAAAAAATAAAATAAAATAAAAAAAGTTGAATGCGACAAATCACCCCACTATCATTAACACATACCGCATCAAAAAGATCACAACAATTTATCCAACGACATAATAAAAAAACATTTTAGGTTACTAAAAAATTAGTGATAAAAGTTAAAAATAAAAAAAATAAAAATTGAAGTTGAGATATTAACAACAAAGAGGATTAATCTATATTTTTCAGGATAAAAGATAAAATAAAGAAAAAAAGGTTTAATGACAACAAATCACCCCACCATCATTAACACGTGCCGCATCATGAGAAAAAAATCACAACTATTTATCCAATGACATGATAAAAAAACATTTTAGGTTACTAAAAACATCAATCATACCATCATCTAAAGGATGCGAGAGCTTCTCTCCAGTACTGTATAAGCTAACAACTTTTAGAATTAATTAATATTTAATTGATATTAAAAGATAAATTTCCTTTATTGTCATGGTAATTAAAAAAAAAAGGAAACGACCAAAAGGCTTCTAAAGTGATGATTTGAAGTTTTTAAATCCAATGGGTGAAAAGCTAACTATGCTCCTTTTCTTCAACTTTATTAATATTTTATAATTATATCATTTTATTATACTTAATAAATAAAATATATAATTACATCCCTAGATAATTCTCTAATCACCAATAGATTATATAAAAAGACATGCCCCCGGAACTAAAGGAAGTGGCTTTTTTGGAAAAGATTAAACAGTCATTTTATATTATAATGAATAGTAAAATTAAGTCTTTCTACACGGTGTATTTACCTTCCCCTGTTAGGGTTTTATTATTATTATTATTATTATTATTATTATTATTACGTGCCACTCGCACCATTAACCTCTGATTGTTATTGCAACTCCATGCAGAACGAATACATCAAATTACAGCTGAAATAAATGTTGGATTGATCTCTAGACAATGGGCACATGGAGTAAGTAAACTAGAGCCAGCAAACATCAATTATGTCCATCATAAATGCAAAAATTGAATCTCCTTCGTATGAACTATCAATAGAATTATCGTACTCTTTTTCACCATGCATCCACGCTTGAGCTCCGCACAAAGGTGTTGATGATTGTGCAAAATCAAACTTTTCTTTCATGGGAATACAATAGAAACAAATTCAGCGTTACTTGTTTCGATATGATTGATATTCCAAAACTTTGATTTTCGTCCAAACTTCTAACAATTGGACTTTACACTTAAAGAATGTATCGTCTTTTCATAACAATATTACAACGAAAACTGTGACAGAAATTTGGGACAGAAATCATAAAACCAAGAGATTAAGTGAAAATGTCGGATGGTGACGAGCCTAATTATCATGGTACATCAGCTAACATGGAGATACTGGCAGTTACAAGAATTGGATTTAGCAACCGGAGCAAAATGAATACCTAAGCTCACTGGCAATAGTAATACCAAGAATGGAAGTGCCGACAACTGGGCTGGAAGCATGCTTAAGCAATAGCATAATTGATCGTCTCTGACTCTTTGGGCCGCCACATGGATTTCTGAACACACAGCAATCCTTCCTTGTCCTTGGAGAAGGTCATACTAACCTCCCATTTCATAGACCTTGCCATGTTCTCCAGCTCGTTAATGATCTCCACCTTGTCCCGGACAATGAGCTTCCCTTCTGGCCTAAGAATTCTATCAACTTCAGCAAATACAGCCGCCAGATTGCACCTGTAAGATCCACAAAACATTGCAAAATCAGACGGCAGAAAATAGAGAAACAGTGAGGTTTATGAAGGGGAACTTCCAGCAGCACGAAAAGAGCATTCAATTATTGTTACATACCTCTTTTTAACCTTGGAGAAGAGATGGTCTGCATGAAGAAGATCATAAGATCTTGGATAAGTGTTAAAAGATTCACACCAATCATGATAAATTCCAAAAAGCCCACGTTCATAAATTATAGGTAGAGTATCTGGTGAATCTGCTGTGACCACATTCATGACCCACACATTCAACTCCTTCAGAGCTGCAGCAAAACTGCCAACACAACAATAATATCAAACCAAGGGAAAG